TTTGGATAGTAAAAAATTCTCAGAATCCTGGTTTCCGATCTCATGAAGCCAGACTGAAGCCATACAGGGATTAGTACAAAGATATGGAAGATGAGGGAAAGAAACTAAAGGAATTGTAGCCAATTAACCTGCAGTTGATAAGGAATGGAAGCCGGGCTTCCCGAACCTTTTCGGTAATTCTCCTTCAGGATTAGGACAACTATGACTACCCACAACTGCGTTCCAACCCACTTCCAATAACCTGCCTTAGCTGTAGCCAGAATCCAGAGTGTTCTCGAAAACCACTCACTCAGCAGCTCCCTTGGCTAGCCCAGACTGGCAATCTCGAGCCACTGCGGCTGCCCAGCAGTGCCAACAGCGCCCAAGCAGTTGCCTTCCTCTCTGCTGTTCAACTTAAGAACAGTCCTGCGAAGAATGAGGATCTTCCTCCGGAAGGACGGAGGGGCAGGAGTTTGACGTGTAGAGCATGAGACAAGGCCCTCACTCTTCCTTCTTCCCCTCTCATCTCCGACTTCTGGGGTACGGGGAATGGGCACCAGGTCAATAATGGAGACACACTCGGACCCAGGCTAGTGGTCGCTGGGGTACGTTACTGAGGAATGGGGGTGAGAAGAACAAGGGCTCTGGAGATGCAAAGTGCTGACAGACAACAATGCATAGAAGTTAACAAGAGAAGGGGGGCCGGGGGCGATGTAAGAAGTCGTCATCGTCGCCGCGCAGCCTCCCCCACCCCATAAGAGACCTCTGAGATCCCCTCAGAGACCCGGCTTCTACAATAAGGGTGACGTTCCTCCTGGCCGGAGAACAAGGCTGTGCCTCCGCTCCCCAGCCAGGCGGAAGCAGGAGGGGAGGGCCGACCTCCGGGAGCGCCCCTTGAGGGGGTCTATCGGGACTTATCTCAGATGGGGGGGTCGCGGAGGGCGGGGCATCGCCTCAACAGGGGCTGCATCATGGCAGGGACGGGTTTCCCGGGGTCACGGAGCTGAAGCTCACCCCTTCCACTCCCCTGCTACCCGGTTACCTCTTCGCTTCCTCGTCGTCATGCAGCTCCAGCTCGGTCGCCGCCATTACCACATCGCACTCAGCGGCAGCCGCCATCTTACCGCCGGGACCAGAGAGGCGGGTGGGAGGTAGGCGGTGAAGAGCACTTCCGGCTGGAGCATCGAGCAGCTCAGCGGCGCTGCGCCCAGAGAGGCTCCCTCGGGCCCGTCTACCAGCGAGAGGCTCCGCTTGGGGCCAGAGCGGCCTCCCGCCCCCGGAGGTCCACGGTGGTCTCCGCGCCGGGGCGGGGGCCCAGGGACGGTTCCTGTGCGTAGGGGGCGCCACTTTATCCATGGGTCGGAAGTGGGGGGTACAAGAGGGTGACTCCTCTCTAGGCCTGAATTCGCCTCAGTAGTCTGAGAGCTTCGTTGCCATAGCAACTTCCAATCCTAGAGAGTCTCCAGTAAGGTTCAGGAGAGTCTGAATTGGGTTGAGGACTCGATGACCCAGGACTCCGGAGGAAAAGATCCCCCGCTACTACCTTCTCGACCTTGGAGTGTGTCCACAGCTTCCTCCCGGGAAAAGCAAGAAGACACACTTTGAGCCCAGTTCCTCCAGCTTTCATCGGCCCTGGGAAGCCCTGCCCAACCAAGCCAGGGGAACGCAGGGCGTCTTCACCCCGCGCCTTTCATCCCCTCTGGATCTCCAAGCAACAACTGGTTCATCACCCTAATGACGCTGACCCTTTTATGAGGCTGCTTTCATGTCAGCTGCCTGGGAGTGCCATCTCAGCAATAAGCCTAGAGAGGGTGGCACGGCGCCCCAGACCCTGCCCTGGAGTTTATAAGGCCGCTCGCAGGGTGAGGTCCCTGCTCCATAGTGTCCCCAGTACTCTCACCCTTTATAGAAACACCCTGCTCAGCACGCTTGTCTTGCCTTATGCAGTCTGGACTGGGAACTCAGACAGGACACAGCCTAATCATCTTTGTAGTACCTCCCTCACCCAAAACAATAGTATTTGTGGGAATGAATTAAACTGGAGTTTTCTGAGGTTAAATTGGGGGAGTTTGAGGTTAAAATTTTAGAGTTAAGAGGAACTAAAATAAGGGGGCAAGTGAATTTAAAAGGGATGGACTCCTTTCCTCCATTTCTCCCTAGTATATGCTATTCTCAGTAGGATTCTTGCAAGGTCCTGCCTATCACAGTGCTAAGGGAGCAGAAACCACACCCACCACTGGGTAGGGAAGGATGGGAGAGGCTCAGTGGGTGGGAAGAGAGAAGTCATTCATCCAGCCAATCATTCACTAGCCTCTCCAAAGTGCCTACTTTGTGCTAGGTTGGGAGGGCACAGACTCAGAGACCACTTACTCTGTCTGCCAGTGGTTCACAGTCTACCATCTACTACAGGTAGCCAACCTGTCTTTAGATCATCTTCTCACTGTGTTCTTTGCATCTAAGCCAAAACTCATTTACTCTCATAGCTTTAATTTTAGCTGTAGATGACGCTGAACTCTGTTGATATCTCCAACCTAGAATTCTCAGTTGTGAGTTCTAGATGTCTAAAGCCAACTATCTACTGGATCTCTTGGGTGTTTCACAAAACCTGGAGACATAACATATTTAAGACGAACTTGTCATTCTCTCCCCACTTTTCAACAAAAGAAAAAACAAATGCGGTACTTGATTCTCTTTTCCTGAATGCCTTATCTTGTCAAATCGATTCACCATGCAACTGATCACCAAGTTAGAAAGATAGGAGACATCATAAACTCCCTCTTTCTTACTCCTGACTCCCAACTTATCACCAAGTCTTGTTGATTCTCCTACCAAATGTCTTCTAAATCTGGGTGCCTGGGTGGCTCAGTTGGTTAAGCGACTGCCTTCGGCTCAGGTCATGATCCTGGAGTCCCGGGATCGAGTCCCGCATCGGGCTTCCTGCTCAGCAGGGAGTCTGCTTCTCCCTCTGACCCTCTTCCCTCTCGTGCTTTCTATTTCTCATTCTCTCTCTCTCTCAAATAAATAAATAAAATCTTAAAAAAAATGTCTTCTAAATCTATCTCTCTCTGTTCCACCCCAATTCAGGCTCTCATCATTTTTATTTTTAAAACTTGGAATACTACCATTGTCTCCTAACTGGCCCCCAGTCTCATCTCTCTCCATTCTTTAATCTTCTACCAATGACTTTCTACACTTGATCTTAGCCGAAAGGCTGAGAAGCGATTACCAATGACTTTCTTAAAAGCAAAAACTGATCATGTCACTTCATTGGCATAAAATCTATCAATGGCTTCCCACTGCTGTTAGGATACAGTTTGAACTCTTCGACCTACCACACAAAGTCTTTGATTATTTGCCTCCTTTCGACCATCAATATTGACCCCAAATACTTGTAGTTTCAGAAAAATGCCATGACCTTTGCCAGTTTCTTCCACCCTTTCCTTCCACACCCTTCAAATCTCAAAACAGACATAACCTCCTCCAGGAAGTTTTCCATGATCCCCACTGTCCCTGAAGTTAAATACCGTTTGCTGTGCTCCCAAAGCACCTCCATAATAGTTCTCACCGTGCGGTACTGTAATTGTTGGTTTAGATGTCTAGCTCCTCCGGACGGTAACGTTCTAATTCGTCCATTTTTTTCTCAGCATGTGGTTTTGTACCTGGCACAGAGTAGGTGCTCAGAAGACATCTGACGAATAAACGATTGAATAAAAGAAGTGTTACTGCTCTATGGTAGTCTTTAGAGAAAGAACATTCAGGCATCAGGAATACCAGCCCCCCGCGTCCCGGGCGCCTAGAACGGTGTGCTCAGGGGCACAGCCGGCCCAGGTCCCGTCATTCTCCCCGCCGGCCACTGGGGGCGCTGTGAGTCCGGCTCCCGCTGCCCGCCGCCGGAATTGGTCATGCGGGACGGAAGCTGGGGGGGCGGGGCCGGACGGAGCCTGGAACGACCCGGGAGGAAAAGCAGAGTCCTTGTGGCTGTGCTGCCCCTCCCCTGGTCCCGGCGCGCCTAGAGGGGCCCGGCCGGGGTGCTGCGAGGGCTCCGGGAGGTACGGAGCTGGGAGGCCACCGCGTCCGGGCCGCCTTAGGTGGCGGGTCTCCGCCTCCGATTCCCTCGGGGGGAGTCGGTGGCGGAAGCCCTCTGGCAGTCTAGTTGCGGGGCCCGCAGGCGGGAGGAGGGGTCTGTATCAGGAGTTTACTCGAGAGGTCTCTGTTTGGGACACCTTTTGGGAGTACATCTGTATCTGCTCTCTGGGGCAGTCTTGGTCTGGGGTTCCTTCTGGGAAGCCTATGTTTGGGATGCCTTCGGCGAGATCTCTGTCTGGGACCTCTTCGGCGAAGGGGTTTCTGTGTCTGAGCCTCCTCATCCTGCTTTGTCAGTTCAAGGGCAGCACAGGTTTTCTCCTTTCCAAAGCCTTTTCCCCTTAGATTCTTTCACCCTTTTCTTTCTTGCCTGATGTTCTTCATCTTAGCCCTGGACTTGACTGGGAATTAGAGGGAATTAATTGTTGTCCAGGTAAATCATACAGGAAAGCAAAATACCCTCCTTGTTTGCTCACTCTCCCCATGAAGAGCGGCTTAAGACAGATCCACACAAAACAGCATTCCGTCTTATTTCTCCATGGAGTCATGGTTCAAGACTGGAAGCTGAGCCAGAGCTCCATTCAGCAGCTGGTCTTACACATCCTGTGCGCAGAAGGGAACCAGGGCGGTGTTTCCTTTAAAGCAGAGACTCTCTTCCCCCTTTATGGCAACATTTACTGAGAACCTGTCCTGAGCCAGTTACTGGCCCTGTATTGGTTATAACAAAGATGAATAAAGTATAGCTCACTGTCCGGTAACAGACATAGATCCATCATTCCAGTATACCCTGACCCTAGGAGGGGACAGACCGTGCTGAATCCCTGAGGCTGTGTATTCTGTCCAGATCCTGGGCTCTCAGTTACGGGAGGTCTGTCTGCCCTCTGTTTTCATCCCACTTAACCCAGTGTGCTTCTGTTTTTCAAAGTTGAAGGCTAAGCATGGGGAAGAGCTGCAAGGTGGTCGTGTGTGGCCAAGCATCTGTGGGCAAAACGTCAATCCTGGAGCAGCTTCTGTATGGGAACCATGTAGTAGGTGAGTGTTATTGGGGCGGGGGGCATGGTGGAAGAAGTTGAAGAATAAGTAAGATTTGATCACAACACGAAAAGGCTAAAAGCTGGTGGTGGTGGTTATTGCACCCCACAGAGTAAAACTGCATAATGACCCCAACCCTAGCATACTGAAATCTGGAGAGAGGAAACCCAATACTTGAGCTAGGGAGGAAAAGCTCTCAAGTCACACTTTTGCTTAGCATGGAATTCACATGAGATTAATGTCTGTTCCCCCCCACACACACATGCAAGTCATCCGGTCCTGCCGGACTGTCCATCCCTGGCCCTCTCTCCTCGGCCCCACATTCCTTTCTCTCTGGCTGGTAAGCCTTTTAGGATATACTCAGTCACTCACGTTTCCCACCTTCCTTCTCTCTACAAACAAGTTTTCTCTTCATCTTGTCTCAGGTTCTGAGATGATTGAGACCCAGGAAGACATCTATGTGGGCTCCATTGAGACCGACCGGGGGGTGCGGGAGCAGGTGCGTTTCTATGACACCCGGGGGCTCCGAGATGGGGCTGAACTGCCCCGGCACTGCTTCTCCTGCACTGACGGCTATGTCCTGGTCTACAGCACGGACAGCCGGGAGTCCTTTCAGCGTGTGGAGCTGCTCAAGAAGGAGATCGACAAATCCAAGGACAAGAAGGAGGTGTGTGTATGCAGGGAACACCGGTGATGAGAGGGAGTGGGCCCTGGGCTGGTTTTGGGGAGCCTGGCATGGCTGTTTTTCATTCATATCTCAGGAGATGGGGTAGGAGCTAGAGGGGGGATGGAGGCCACTGGAGGCGGTCTTCCCCCTGGAGGTGGCCGTGTGTTGAGGCAGCTCAACCAGAGAGGCTTTTCTTTATAGTTTCAGGGGTTCCTGACCTAACTCCAGAAGCCCCCACTAATCTTTCTTGCTGATGGTTCCTTGCTCTTAGCTGTGAAGGCGCTTCTGTACCCAAATCCTCCTGTAAGCTGCAGGCATTTGGGGGGGTGCTCCCTTACCAGTTGTTTAGACAGACTGATAGCTAGTAACGAGCAGGCATAGGTGATACAGGGTTTATAAGGGAACTCCTGGAGGGAGGGCCAGACGGAGGCCAGAATTTAAACAGAGGAAGGAGAGAACAAAGCAACCATCTCCCTCTCCCCAGTTACTGTTCCTAATATAGGAAGAGGTGAAACGTTAGGCATTGAGACTTTCCCTTCTCTTAGGACTCCTGGGTAGGTGCCTGCCATCACACCCAGGCCTGAGGTCCACAGTACATCCTCAGATCTCTACTCTGTCTTCCCCAGGTCACCATCGTGGTCCTGGGCAACAAGTGTGACCTGCAGGAGCAGCGGCGTGTCGACCCAGACGTGGCTCAGCACTGGGCCAAGTCCGAGAAGGTGAAGCTGTGGGAGGTATCTGTGGCCGACCGCCGCTCTCTCCTGGAGCCCTTCGTCTACCTGGCCAGCAAGATGACCCAGCCCCAGAGCAAGTCTGCTTTCCCCCTCAGCCGCAAGAACAAGGGCAGCGGCTCGTTAGACGGCTGAACAGCTGCCATTCCCTCTCCACCTACCCAGCCTCATTCCAGCTTCTGGGGCTCTGGAAGATGTGTCCAGCGGTGGGGTTAGGCAAGCTGTCCCTCCCAGGCCAGGCAGCTGGGCTGTCCCAGGCTCAGGTCACTTTCATTCCCTCCCAACTCTGGGAAGTGCAGATAATCGAGGCTGGTACCCCCAAATCCTCCCTCCCCTCCAGCTCTCATCATCCCTGCCCTGCTGTGACCTGGGGCAGTTGTGGGTCAGTGTCCCCTCCCACCTGCCCTGGCTGGGAAGCAGAGCCACCATGCAGACGTTCCCGGTCCAGGCTCTGGTTTCTGTCACAGGGATCCCCCCACCTGTGGGTTTCCTGCCAGGGACAGACACACACACACACACACACACACTCACACTTATGGCACCAGCCTGGAGCCTGGAGAAAGGCATCTGGGTATCGCGTACATGCATGTAGGTGTGTGCACGCGTTCATGAGTGTGCCTGCTGGTGTCCAGCTCTGACTGGCCTCTCCTTGGCTAGAAGAAGCCAGCCTCCTGGGAAGTGTAATTTTCCGCTTTCACTCTCCCCACCCCCTCCCCCCAAGTTGTTTCGCTTCCTCTTCCTGCTCGGGGAGCACACGGCCCTCATTGGCTGAGATGGAATGGAATGAAGGCTGGGCTTCACCCGCTGGCTTTGGGACCCTGCAAGGCCTTTCCCCTGTCTGGGTTTCAGTTTTCTCATCTGTAAGGTGATGGGAGTTGCTTAGATGATCTTCTGGATCCTCTCCAGCCCTCAGATTTTTTCATGCCTGTGGCTTCAGGCTGGCTGTTACTGTGCCCTGGCTTCTGCCTCTTCAAGGTGCTATGCCTCCAGGCCCTGGAGGCTGAGACACTGCTCCCCCCAACCACCAGGGGGCAGGCGTGCACTGTCCGCTCTAGTTGCCAGAGTGGCCACCCAGTGCCCACTCAGCGGACCTCACACCGGTGGGGCCTGGTCTTCACCCCTTCCTGTGGTTTTCAGCTAATAGCTGGACTTCTATTTATAAATTACTTGTGTTTCTCTGCCTGCTGCCATGGTGAAGGCTGGACAAGGTGCTCCTCTAGCCCCTCCTTACCTCAGATGCCTGAACAGAACAAGGCAAACCAGTAGCAGCTTCTCAGGAGCTGTCAGATCTGTCGGGACTCAGAAGGGTGGTTACACTTTCAACATGCTATAAAGTGAGCTTGTCACCCACAACTTCCCATGTCCACTTCATGCTTCCAATGTGCACACCCAGCATAGATGAGACGCTAGAGCCAGGTGACTTCTAGTACACGCCCCTTCTCCCAAGACGGGAGAGATGAGCAGGACGGGCCACCCAGGGCTGGGCGAGTCGAATTAGGGCATATACAGGCTCGGGCTTGAATTCATTTATTGATGCGTTGGACACAATAAAACCACAACTGTTATCAAAAAGTTTCCCTTCCCTCCCCCCTTCTTGTCCTCCCATTGGAAATATCTAAAAAAAGAGAAGATACAGGGGGATACTGGCAAAGTCCCATATTGTGGGATGAAGGAGCAGTGCTGGGGGTGGGATGGGGGTTGTGACATTGACTTTGACAACATGAAAATAGGTCTTGAGAGTATGTCATCCTGGATCTCAACACTCAGCTTCACGGTGAGGGGGGCTGGGTGCTGGATGGAAGGAGGGGAAGCTGGATTTAGTGTTAGGGAACAGCTTGGGGTGAGGAGCTGGAGGGGAAAGCTCTTTGTTTGGGAGCCCTGGCATAGGGGGGGTTGGTGTTTGCTGGGTCCAGAGTCTGAGACCCAGTGCTTCCCCCACCCATATGGGGTTCACAAGGAATCAAAGGCTGAGGAGAGAGCTTGTGTGGGGTTGATCACCTCTGTTAAAACGGCCCAGCCGGAAAATCACCCTCACCTACCCCTCTCTTAGCCCCATCTTGGCTTTGCCCCCACGTAGCATTGCTCCCTTTCTCCTCCACAGTCTTCTTCCACTCCCCCAGGATCACCCTGTCCAGATAGCCTTGAACCCTCTCCAGCTTGAGACCCCATCTGCCACCTCAGTGATTCTCTGGAGAATCCAGTAAATGGGGAGGGCCTCCCCTGCAGACTTGTCCCCAGCCCAAAGTTAAGATTCCTAGGGCCTCTGGCCATGGGGGTACAGGTCTCGAGTGGGGGAAATGAGAGCACCATGGGGCTGGGGCTAGGATTTTGCATAGATCTTTGGGATTTCTCAGTTTGCTCCCCATAAATCAGGCTGGGCAATGCAGGGGCGCCCAGCAGTAGCCTGAGAAGGCTGGGGAAAGGAGGGTGGGGATGGAAGGTCCTTGGGCCCGGAGGGTAGTAGTGGAGTCCCTAGTCCAGACTGGGTAAAAGGCAGATGTCCTTGAAACTAGCCCAGCTCTTCCTCGATTGGGCAGGAAGCCCTCGGCTGTAAAAGGCAGTTTCCCGGGGATGGAGGAAACTGAGGCATCTTGGGAAGAGGAAGCGGGGACAGCAACTGCTGGGAAACGAGCCCTGGCCTCCCCAGGAAGCCTAGTAGGGGGCAAAGACGATGGGCCCTGTGGCAGGGCGGACAGCTCCTGCTGGGGTACGAAACAGAGCTGGGCCCAGGATGGGAGCTGGGAAGAGGGTGGTGGCTGCTGTGGGAGCAGGCCGGAGGGCCAGGGGCCCTGGCAGGGCACAGATGGCAGCGGCCGCAGCCGGGATCGGGCTGGGCAGAAAGCGGGCCGCCAGCGTCTTGGTGAGTTGCTTCTGCAAGGCCAGTTTCGACTGCAGAGAGGAGAGAGAGGAATGGACACAGTCTGACCTAGGAAAATCCCACCCCTCCCGGGGCTCCATCCTCGGGCTTTCTGCTGCAGGAAAGACATGCCTTTTAGGGTTCCAAGCCTAAATCCTCCCTTCCCACCCCCAAACACTCATTCCAAAGGGCTTTCTCCACCACCTGTCTTCCTGCCCAGAGGAAGGAGGCTGTGGGGTGGGGGCAGAGATGGTCTCTAGGAGATGCACGCCACCCCTTTCTCTTGACCCACCTCCCCGGAAATTCCTCTGGGCAGATCCCAAGATGGCCAAAAACACCAGCCCAGCTCTCCCTCAGCCCAGGCAGCCTTGAAGGTGGGGGGAGGGAGGGTGGCTTCCTTCCTGCCCCACCTTCTCCCTGCCTCCAGTCTCCCCCGCTTGCCCTTCTGGTCCACCCCCTCCCCACCTCCGGACCCGGGGCCCAGCCCTGTGGCTGAAGACAGATACCTTGAGGATACTCACAGCCAGCGCTGCATGCTTCTGCAGCTTGCTGTGCTGGCTGGAGGGCTTGGGGGGCTTCCCAGCCAGGCGGTCTTTGTGTCTCCTGCTGCTCAGGTGCTAACGGACAGAAAGACAGACAGACTGGCAATGGGGTGAGGAAGCCCAAGGACCCCCACACAGCCCTATCATCCTCAACTAGCTAACCCTTCCTCCACCTGTGAGTTGCATGTTGGACACACATTTGTGGGGTGTCACCCTGGGAAGGGGAGGTGAGACTTGGCCTTTGCCCTCCAGGAGCCCCCTGTCCTTCCAGCCCCCTGTCCTTCCTTTACTGGCTCCCTCTGGGCACCCGACACCGGCTCCACCCCCTCAGCCCTGCTCCAGCCCCAGTCCCGGCCTCACTGCTCCCACCTGCTTGAGCTGGGTCTCTGAATTGACTTGGAGCTGACACAGAGCACAGTGAAAAGGAGGGCTGGGGCCCTGTCGGGCCCCCCGGCCCCCTGCCACTTTCTTGGCCTTGTGTCCAGCTCCCCGGGGAACTGGACGGCCCCGGCCCCTTCGGGGAGCACCTCGCTGACCTTCCACCATCCACCGGTGCTTGGCTCCTGAGAGAGGAGGGAAGACAACCCATCAGCACCGAAGAGGAGCTGCAAGGGCCATGGAGACCCCCACACCGAAGTAGGTCAGTCTGGCTACCCCACCAAGCCTCCAGCCACCTGAGAGTTCTCTTCCCCACCTCCGCAAGGTCCTCCCAGCTTCGGTCATTTCCCGCCAGCAACCCCCCACCCCCAAGCCTTCTTGCGGTGGAACTGCACGGCTTCCCTTTGCTCTCATCTCCTGCCTTCCTTCTGGGTCTGACCTATGGACAGACGGAGGAAGTGTTTCCGGCCTTCTCCCAGTGACCCTTCAGTCCTTGCTGCCCCAGACTTCTCTTCCCAATTCTCCCGCCTCAAGCACCAGCTGGAGGAGCCAGAATGCCCACCCAGTCACAGCTGAACACAAGGCCTGTGTCACCAAGCCCTTGAGCCAAATGCCCAGAAACTCCGGCCTGCCTGCAGCTGGGGAGGGCCGGCTGCCTGTCCCTCTCCTCTCCTAGACTCCAGCGCACTGACCTGTGTTGTGAGCCTGTAGCTGGGAGGCAGAGTTCACTGTCACCTTGCACGTGGGGCAATAGAGGCGCCCCTTCTCGCTCCTGCCCTCCACACTCACACCAGTTCCCACAGCAGCGGCTGCTGGCTCAGGCCCTGGTGCCTCCCTCCCAGGCTCTGGGGAGCAGGGTAGGCAGGAAGAAGAAGAGGAGGAGGCAGCATCCAAGAGGTCTGAGTGGGTCGGCTTCCTGCACGTGGGGTCCGGAGTCAGCAGTGGCTGGAGTTGGGGTCCAGGAGGAAGGGCCTCAGGAACTGCTGGAGAGATGGAAGGCATCGGGTAAGAATCATCTTGAGACCATGATCTTAAGTAGTGATATACTAGGGGTGGCATGGCAGAGTGGAAGCATCCCTGACATAGGGATGACCAGCACTGAAATCCAGACTCCACTCTCCCACCAACTCACTGGGCAGACTTGGGCCTCTCTGGGCCTCAGCTTCCCCATCTGAAAATATAAAGTTGGACGGAGGGGTCTCAGAAAGCCCTCACAGCCCTGATACTTCAGAGTTATTAGCTAACTGTAAAATAAGTGGAAGTGACCAATAAGATGCACTGGAATATTCATAGAGCACTACTCATAATAGCATAAAACTGAAAACTATCCAGGGCACCTGGGTGGCTCAGTTGGCTGAGCATCTGCCTTCAGCTCAGTTCATGATCTCAGGGTCCTGGAATCGAGCCCCGTGTCTAGCTCTGCACTTAGTGGGAAATCTGCTTCTCCCTGTCCCTCTGCCCCTCCCCCTTGCTCATGCTCGCTCTCTCTCTCTCTCTCTTAAATAAAATCTTTTAAAAAAAGATAAAACTAGAAACTATCCAAATGTCCATAACAGGAGAGTAGATTTAAAAAAAGACTTGTATGGTCATGCAAGAGGGCTCTACACAGCTTCATGCAACAACACTGAAGAGGCCAGGCACAAAACCTCCATACTACAGGATTCACCAAAACCAGGGGCAACTGATTGATGGCAAGAAAAGTCAAGCTCACTTGGGGGAGGGGTGTAAGTAGTTGAATAGTGTTGCCCCCAAATTCACGTCTGCCTGAAACCTCAGAATGTGATCTTATTTGGAACCAGGGTCTTTGCAGATGTTAGTAGTTAAAATGAGATCATAGTGGACCAGGGTGGACCCTAATCCAATGACTGGTGTCATAAGAAGACCATGTGGAAATAAAATAGGATAAAAACAGAGAGGGAGACAAACCACAAGAGACTCTTAACTCTAGGAAACAAACAGGGTTGCTGGAGGGGAGAGGGGTGGGGCAATGGGGTAAATGGATGATGGGCATTAAGGAAGGCACCTGATGCAATGAGCACTGGGTGTTGTATGCAACTGATTCTACCCCAAAATTAATAATACATTATGTTAACTAATTTGAATTTAAATAAAACAAAACAAAACAAGAGCATGTGAAGACACAGAGACACGGGGAGAATGTGATGTGAAGACAGAGGCAGAGATTGGAGGGATGCATCTACAAGCCAAGGAACGCCAAAGATGGCCAGCAACCACCAGAAGCTAGATGAGAGGCGTGAGACAGATTCTCCATCTGAGCCCAATCCCATCAACACCTTGATTTCAAACTTCTCACCTCCAGAACGGTGAGAAAATAAATGTCTGTTGTTTTCAGCCACCCACTGTGTGGTCATTCGCTGTGGTAGCCCTGGGAAGCTAATACAACGAGGCAGTGACTGGGGAAGGGGGCGGCTAGGAGGGCTTCTGAGTGCTGGTGCCATGTTTCTTGATCTCAGTATATTCAGACTGGGAAAGTTCGTTGAGCTCAACACTTGTGATGTGTGCCTTTTTCTGTATGTATGGGCTACCCCAACATAGGTAAAAATAATAAGCGGAAATCTCCCAACCCCTCACCAGAAACCAGATTTGGATTGGCGAGTCGGGAGGGGAGGGAGAAGAGTTCAGGACTGACCTTTGTTCTGCAGCTCTCCTGGGGATCCACTGGCTGAAGTCGGGGCTGGGGACACCAGCACCCCATCCTGGGCCAGGGTTTGTGGCCTCTGCTTGCTCTTGGCAGCTTCGACAGCCTTGAGTTTTCTGGCGTGTTTGTGGCCTTTGTAATGTGCTTCGGCTTGGTTCTGGGGAGGGGAGGGCTTGGGGTCACCATTTATTTGCTGAGTCTGCATGCCCCCTCCATGAGCTGGTGCTGGGCAGGGGGCAGGTCAGAGGGGGCAGGGCTCCAGCCAGACAAGAGGGGAATCCTTGTTTTGTTTTTGTTTTTTTAAGATTTTATTTATTTATTTGACAGAGAGAGACACAGAGAGAGAGGGAACACAAGCAGGGGGGGTGGGAGAGGGAGAAGCAGGCTTCCTGCAGAGCAGGGAGCCCGATGTGGGGCTCGATCCCAGGACCCTGGGATCATGACCCAAGCTGAAGGCAGACGCTTAAGGACTGAGCCACCCAGGCGCCCCAGAGGGGAATCCTTGTCATCACAGCATGTGTGTGGCCCTGAGGTTTATAGAATTCCTTCTTATACATACATGAGCCCTCAGGCAAGCAGCTTCTGGCTTCAAATTCTGTCTCAGCCACTTATAAGCTGTGCATCTCTGGGCAAGTCGCCTCACCTCTCTGAGCCTCAGTTTGCTGACTCATAAACTTTGTGACAATACTGACTTCACAGGGTTGTGAGAATTAAAAAGAACATGAAGGGCGCCTGGGTGGCTCAGTCGGTTAAGCAGCCGACTCTTGATTTTGGCTCAGGTCATGATCTCAGGGTCATGAAATGGAGACCTGCGTTGGGCTCTGTGCTCAGCCAGGAGTCTGCTTGAGATTCTTTCTCCATCTGCTCCTCCCTCCACTCTCTCTCAAATAAATAAATAAAATCTTTTTAAAAAAATAAATAAAAGGGGCGCCTGGGTGGCTCAGTTGTTAAGCGTCTGCCTTCGGCTCAGGTCATGATCCCAGGGTCCTGGGATCGAGCCCCACATCGGGCTCCCTGCTCGGCGGGAAGCCTGCTTCTCCCTCTCCCACTCCCCCTACTTGTATCCCCTCTCTCGCTGTGTCTCTCTCTGTCAAATAAATAAATAAATAAATAAATAAAAATAGAACACGAATGACAAGGGCCTAGTACATATAGCAGGTGCTCAACAAATGTTAGTTACCAAGTTCATAAAGGCACAAATGGAAAAAATAGAGCATTCTTCATACTTGGGGTATGTGCACCCTAGAACATTCATCCCTTTATTCATTTTTTTCAGCAAATCGTTTTTGAGCATTTGCTCTTTGCCAGGCTCTGTGCCAGGGGCCCGGCATGGAGAAGACATGGTCCCTCCCTCAGAGTGACGTCTTTCTGTCCATCTCTTGCAAGACTCATATGACCTGAAAACCTGAAAAGAACCCCTGAATCTAGCCTCTTGGTGTCCTCCCTCCTTCAACCAGAGGTCCCTGCTTATTGCTCCCAAGTATAGGAAAGGCAGGCCCCTGCGGCCCCTCCCTAGACCCTTTCACCAGAGCAAATCTCCCCAAGCCCCAGAATTTTCCAGACAGAAGGTAAATATTCCCTGGGAGTCCAGAATGAGGCTTCTCCATTATCTAGGGGTAGGCTGTGGTAGGAAGTATGTGGGCCTTGGGGTCAGCCAGGCCTGGGTTCAAATCCCAGCTCTGCTACTCACCAGCTGTGTGGCCTCAGGCAAATCACTTAACCTCTCTGAGGCTGTTTCCTCATGTGAAAAGTGGGGACAATAGCACCTCTATCCATCTCACAAAATATCATGAGAACTAATTAAGATGATGGGAATGAACATATTCAACACATTAACTCTCCGGTGCTTTAAGAACTCAGCTCCAGACCAGGAACCAATAGGGGCCCCTGGGACCCAGAGCAGGGAAGGGCAGTCTTTTCTCTTGCAGAAAGATCCAGAACACAGGAGAGAAGCAGAAGGGAGGGAAATGGAGGCCCCAGGGCCACTAGAGATGAGGCAGAGGAATTTGGAGAGAAGAGAGGGCGGGATGGGTAAAGGACCGGGAGCGCCTCTTCTGCACCCAAGGATGGAAAATACGGACCCCAGTCCCTTTGCCAGCCCTACTCCTCCAGGAAAGACCCCAGCAGCCAGTGTCCAACCCTCTCCCTGCCCAGCCCCCTCCCCAGCCTGTTTCCGCTACTCCCTCTCACCGCTGAGTTGAACCTCAGGTGACAGATGTTACAGGAAATGAAGAGCTTCTTCTTCAGAGGGGAGGGGACCCCAAACGTGTGGCTGATGACAGCTTTCTGGATCGGGTCCATCTGTGAAGGGGGTGGGAGGGCACAATAACGCTGGGGTCGGCTCTGGAAGGGGAGGCAGTACAAAATGCCAGAAACTACAGGCTATTAAGGAGGGCCGGCATCGGGACATGGGAAGAACTTCCCCATCCCTGTGCATGGGAGACACACAGGAACAGTCTCGTCCCCGGCTGACCTCTGTTAGCCTGGGCTTCAGCTTGGAGGCAGGGGGGATGGCCAGGGTGACCTCTGTGATCGGGAGAAAAACAACCATGTCCCGGTGATCACCTTGGCCTCTCTTGCTGCCCCTCTGGTCTCTGCTTTGGGTTTTTTTTTTTTTCCCTTATTCACAAAAATCACAACTATTGGGACAGAGTTGGGGGCAGGGAGAAACAGGGACGGGACAAAGAGTCTCTCTGTTGGAAATCCTCTCCCATAACCCAGCCTTGTGCTGGGCCTGTGGGCTGGGGGGGAGAAGGCTTATCTTTTCAGCTCTGCCACTGTCACAGGGCCTGAGGGGGGAGTGAGGGCATGACCAGGGCAGGTGGGGGGCCGGGAAGGGGCAGGTTGCAGCACGTGCAGGCCAGACGGTTCCCTGAGTCGTAGGATTATTTCTTTGGTATATTAATTTATTGTGGGGGTTTTTCTCCCCCTCTTCCTTATTTTAACTTTTTTTTTTTCCTTCTATCAAACCAAGCCTTTATGTTTCCTTTCCTCAGGGGCTGCTTGTTGGACCAAAAGCAGTTGTCTGGGCTTGCTTATCAAGAGGAACTTTCCAGCCCTCCCTGAGAGAAGAGAACAGAGGCTTTGAGAGAAAAGCATGGTTTCAGAAACTCCCTAGGGAACAGAACGAGGGTCTAACCTTCACCTAACAGCACCTGGGGCTGGGGGCAGGCAGGGGACAGGAGCATGGCCTGCAGGGCCCCCAGAGAGGCGGGCAACAGAAGCTGTACCCACTCCCAAGGGACTGTGTGCATGGTGCGTCAGCACCACCAGAGAGGACCAAACAACAGGGGACGCTTCCTAAATGGCTCAGGCTCCTGTGGACCTCTGTGCGACGCTGGAGGTTAGAAAGGAAGGGACTCCTAAGGATGACTGAGACTGAATTTCCCACCATCTTGGCAGGATGGGCTGGGGCTCCCTGATGATTACATTTGATGTTTCAGAATTAAAGAAAGGGGGGGTACTTCTTATAGTGAAGTAAAATTCATGCTCCCTGCACTTGTCATTCACACACACGCACACGTGGAAATAGAGAGACACAGAGCACAGAAGCCTACAGGCAGGTACGAATCACAGAGCCATGCAGAAAAATGCAGACCCACAGGAGTACAAATGGCACACTTCACAGACACACTCACAATCACCCAACTCCCCCCACACACACTCAGAGGTGAGACACACACCAAACACGTACAGAGTCAACACAAAGACAAAAAAATCTCTCAGAGACACAGGCACATACATTAATTACATACAGTTACCAAGGCGCAAGAGTTGTTTACACACACATCCACAAGTATCAAAGACCCATAGAAACATAAACTAAAACAGAAAGGCACACCCCAGACATACAGACGTCCCTCTACAAAAACTCAAGTGTAACCTCCAGGCCACAGGCCCAGCAGTCATTACCGGGGGAAGGGGTGACACCATCCTCATTTTTTGGTCTCGGGGAAACCTGGACCCAGGGGCCCCTGTTTCGGGAGTGCCCAGTCACTCTTGGGGATGTTGCTCCTACTTATACCCAGCTTCCAAGAGCCAGCCCCTCTGTACCCACCTTCCCTGCCCACCCTCAAGCTCGGCCGCATGCCCCCACCCACCAGCCCAGCCCGTACCGTGCTGAAGTTGGGGGTGAGACTGAGCGGGGTGGCGCCATTGAAGTGGAAGGCGAGCAAGTGCTTGAAGTCCAGCGGGGGCTGCAGAGGCCTGGCAGGCAGGGGCAGGGAGGCCAGCAGGGGGCTGGGGGCACTGGAGGCCGGGCCTGCTGCAGGAGGAAGAAGGGCAGGGTCTGAAATGGGGAGCCACAGGGCTCACAGTGACCTCCACGGCCAGAAAGAGAGACTGATGGGCTTCTTGGATGTGGAGCCAGGGCAGAAACTGTCTCCCTCTTCACAAAGCAGCACTGGCTAAGCCCGGGGCACTCACAGCCCATTTCTGTGCCTCTCCTCTCCACAATGGGGGGAGCAGAAGCAGGGAGACCACAGTTCTCAGTTCCCAGCCCCGAAGGATGCCCCTCCCATCCCCTCCAGAGGCAGCCCGAGGGCCCCAATGAACCCCAGCTGGGAATCAGGCCAAGGGAGGAGCAGAGGAGTACACACACACACACACACACACACACACACACACACACACACCACACCATGGAGACTGTGTGATGTACTGGGTTTCCATTTATTGCAAGTTAAACCCAAACCCAGGGGACCTGGGGAAAGGCCAGCCCCCTCCCCTCTCACTAACTGCCCCCCTCCTGATCCCCACAGCATTCACTGCAGGGGCTGACAGAGAAGACGGGGAAACCTGTTGGAATCTGAAGGGATGTTGTCCCCTAGCTCTGGTGAGGCCCCAACTCCTTCCAGAAGGCAAAAAGCCCTCTAACCCCTGGATCAGGCCTGAGGCTGGTCCTCAGAGTTGGTCGGTCCAGCCATGTGGTTTTAGGGTCTTTGGTCTTAAAGGTCTGAGGCAAGGGCAGGGGAAGGCTAGGAACTTTGGGGAGCAACCAGACTCTGAAGAAGAAAAGAATTAGAAATAAATCCAGTCCATCGGGACTTTTCTGGACCCTGTCACTGCAAAACCGTAAGAAGTCCTTTCAGATTTTTTGTGTGTTAACAATATGCAAGATAGGTTTATTTTACATTGATAGATGTATATGTCTATATACACAGCCATATGCAGAAGAGCCTCACGCAGTGGGCAGGGGAGGTAGGGCACCACTACCTCCCTTGAACTGGTAGCTTGTGCACAGAGAGGGTGTTTTGCTGTGTGTCAAAAACAAGGAAGTCATCTGCTCTCCAGGTCTATCTGAAGAGAAGAGATGCTGCCAGCGGGGGAGCTAACAGCCAAGAACCCACTCTCCTTTGCCTCAATCCCTCAATTCCTGAGACCCAGTCTTCCTCTCTCCCTCCAAGACTCTTCAGTTTTTCTAGGGCCCAAATCTGGGCTTCGTCCAGACGGAAAAAGGTGAGCTACTCCTCACCAAACTCTGGCAAGGGCAGAAGCGATATTGAGGGTGCCCCCAAACCTAGCATGTCTGCCGGCTTGCCCAGGCCTCCCGTGACCGCAGCCCTTTCTCCACAGCCCACCGGGCACTGTCAGTACTCAGCACGGAGCGGAGGAAGCCCGGAGCAGGTGGGTGGGAGGCCACGGTGAGGCGGTCAGCTTGGGTGTAGCTCGGTCAGATCCGCCTGGGCCCCTAGACTAGCACCCCCGGCCCCAGGCTGACTGGGCGGAGGGAAGGCGGCCGCCCTCACGGGAGCTGCGACCCCAGGAGCCCCTCCGCCCACCCACTCTCCAAGAACTCCACGGCCAGCGCAAAGTCAAACTCGTGCAGCGGAGGCCCATCCACGGCGATCTTCACCGCCGGGCCGCCCCGGCCCTCCCCGGCCCCGCTCTGCCCCCACCACCGCAGCTCCCGGCTGCGGCCCACCTTGTCCAGGAGGCCGGCGCCCGCGGGCAGCGCCAAGGCTAGGGCGGCAAGGGCGGCGAAGTCCGGGAAGAGCTCGTGCAGCTCCGAGCGAGCGCACGCCAGCCTGGCGCACAGGGCCCGCGGGCCCAGCCGCCCCAGGCTGCGCACCACGCGCTTGAAGAGCGCGAAGTCGCCCAGCGCCCGCTGGCGCACCACGGCGGGGGCGAAGGTGCGCAGCAGCACCCGCAGCGCTCCCTCGCCGTGCGCGCCCAGCTCCTCGGGTGCCTGCGGGTAGCCGCGCGGGTCGAAGATCGCCGCGAACGCGGCCACGGCGTCCAGCGAGGGCCCGGGATAGGAGTCCCACAGCCCCCTCCGCATGGAGTCCAGGAAGGCCCCCCGCAGCCGTTCCAAGCCCCGCACGGCAGCCTCGGAGTAGCCGACCAGCTCCACGCCACGGTAGGTGCAGCACCCACCGCCCAAGTCGGGGCCGGAGGAAGCCAAGTCCTGCAGGAAGCCCTGGAGGCGCGCCCCACCCGAGCTGCGCTGCGCTTGGAGAGAGGCCGCGGCCGCCATCACCAGGGGCTGCAGCGAGGCCAAGTCTGGCTCTTCTGGCTGCAGGACAAGGGCGAGCTTCTGCACGGTGGGCAGAGTGTCCAGCAGCAGGTAGGTGAAGGCCACGAAGGTGAACTGGCGCAGGGCGAGGGCCAGTGCCCTAGCTGTAGGGGAGGCTGGGGCAGAGGCCTCCAGTGTGGGCACCAGGCAAGGCCAAGCCTCAGCCACTGCTTCCACGATAGGCAGCAAGGACGCCCAGGGCACTGGCCGCGGTCCCGCCAAGTCAACAGCAGCAAGGTCCAGTGCCGCCCGGAGCTCGGGGACCGTGTGGGAACCGGGGCCACCATGGAGGCGGAATAGGGCATCCAGCACACTTTCATATTCACTTAGGTAGGCCGGGGGCTCAGGATCTGTCCGGCCGGGGAGGCAGTGTAGCTCGGTGAGCAGTGGGCAGGCAGCGCGGAGTTGTGGGCCCACGTGCCCAAGGCGGTCACTGGGGAGGCTCGAGCTGAGCCAGGCCAGCTTTGCTGCAGACACACCGAAGGCCTGCAGGATGTCCAGGAGTTGGCCAGCAGTGGCATCACCCTCCTGTAGCTCCACACTGCCCAGGAACGTGGTAGCCGGCTGGCCATCACAGGGGGACACCGAAGTGGCAAACAAGGCCAGACTGTGGGACTCAGGCCAGTCCCTGGTCTCGTCCAACACCAGCCCCACATACGGGGATGCCTTCAGGCGCTGGCAGGCCTGTGTGTGCAAGACACTGGCAATGGCCACCTGGGACAGCCAGGGAGAGAAAGGGAAGGACAGAGTTAGGCTTGTCCTGAGCAGGGGAGGTAGCAGTACAGAACACAGAAAGGGCACAGGCCTTGGGGGCAGACAGACAGACCAATCCTGGCTTGGCTGCTTACTGGCCGGGTGACCTTGGGCAAGTCATTTCACCTCTCTGAGCCTCAGTTGCCTCAGCTCTGAAATCAGGCTACTACTTGCCTCTCAGCTCCTTAAAAGGTTGTTGTCAATTAAAAATGTAACTTTCTGTGGCTGTGCTTATAAGTGTAAAACTGCTTGAGGAACCATAAAGATTCTGCAGCATTTTGTGTGTGTTTCTACAGCATGGCCCCGGTTCCTCTTCCTGGGAGTGTCTCTCCACTGTGCGCTCAGGAATTAACTCATAGACATGTTCCCTCACAGTTACGTAGAGCCCCAACTGTGTGCTCTGTTTGTCCGTGTGTCAGCTGTCTGTAGGATGAGATCTAACTCCCCCACCCTCACGCAAGTCCCTAGGACTCACACACCTGGTACCTAGGACAGAACTGCAACTTGCATGCCCCGAGGGGCCACGTGGATGGTACTGGGCTTGATGCGGGCCAGGGATACACCAAAAGGAATGGAGAAGCCGTGGGTCTTCTTCATGCCCTGAGAGCACAGGGACCTAGCTTTTCAGAAGTCACAAACCCACATTTTCATATGTAATCTCTCTCTTTTTTTAACTTGGAAACTAAGTGAGGTTTTCCAAAAACACTGTGAAAATCAACAAAATACATCTGTGGGCCAGTCAAGCCCCCAGGCTACCCAGCTTGCAACCTCTGGCCTCTGCTGGGAGGGAAAGCCCCTCTGCCCCACCCCTGGGGACGGGGCCTGGTCTGGCCTCTTCGTGGCGGTGCCCCTAGCAGCTGGCCCAGGGTCTGGCACATAGCATGGCTCAGTGAAAGGTTCTGCTGGGTGAAGGTATGAATGAAGCTCTCTGGCTCCTGCCCGGGGGCCTGGAATTTTGGTGCTGTGCCCAGAGGGCTGGATGTCCTCCCTCCTCAAGCCCTCCCCCACACCTCTGGCCGCCACCCACCTGCATGTCCCTCACCCTCCTGGGGCTGTAGCAGTTGCCATGCTCTGTGCCCAGCAGGGCCTGGCACAGGTTGAACCTCTGCAGCTCGAGCAGGGCGGAGCAGCGGTCATCGGGCACATCCTCCTTGGCCATGCAGTACACCGTGGTCAGCACGGCCACTTTGGCCGGGTCCACCTCCATCTTGACGCCCCTGGAGGTGGGGGGCGTCTCCAGATCTGGGTAGGCCCCTCCTCCCTCGGCGTGGCCCTCAAAAGTGGGCTGGCCCCGGTTGACGGCCAGCGCCTGGCGGTGGGCCCCCGAAGTCACGTGGCGCAGCAGGGCATGGCGCTGGAAGTTGTCGGTGCCCACGGTGAAGGCGTTCTCCGCTTTGCCATGCTTGTTCCGCACCAGGGCCTGGCGACACTCGAGGCAAAACATCAACTTCCGCTCATAGTCGAAGTCCAGCCACGGAAACTCCTCTTTCCAGTGCTCGTTGAAGTAACGCTTGCACTTCTTGTTGGAGTTGGAGGCCTCTCCTGCGGGTTTCTTCCCTGGGGGCACCATTCCTGCTCGAGGGGCAGGGCACCCCCAACCCCCACCCAAGTGCTCTGGCCCCCCAGCCTCCCCCTACACACCGCGGCACCTCCCTTGACAATGGAAGTTGGTGGGGAAGGCAGGAGGGGAGCACGCTGGGCTAATGGGGACCATCCATCTAACTTAGCTGGGAAAGTTTATTCCTGCTCCTCCGGTGGGAGACTGGAGATGAAAGAGACAAGGGAGAGGTGTTAGAGGGTCCACCGTGGGTTCATGCTGCCCACAGAGCACTCCCCAACTGACCGGGGCACAGCACCTAATGGGGAAGGGCTACTGGAATGGGTGGGGTCATGCCAAGGGCCACAGAATGTCATCCAAAGTGGGGGGAGGCCTGGAGGCCCCAGCCCACTCTGAGGGTCTCCCTCCATCCGGGACAAGGCCTGATGAGCTTTGACTGTTGAAGCATGGCTGAACTCGGCTCTGGAAAGACTGGCACCATCTGTGCAACTGAGTCCAGGTGACAGCGGTTCCCAGGGCTCATGAATAATCTGTAACTGAGCCAGGATTGGACCTTGACTCCTCATTCAAGGATGGCCAGTCTCTTCAGTCCACAATCATTTATTTCATGAGAATGAAGTTAGCACAAAGCTGAGCTCCCAGAGCCACGGGGCCAAAGAATGGCATTCGTTTTCACTGGGCCTCCCTTCCCTAAACCTATACATGGGCACACTCACACGCACACACGCACCCCGATAGTGTGGTGCTGGGTAAAGAAGCCTAGAAGTGGGGGCGGGCCCCAGACTGAAGGGGCTAGCTGACCACCTGTGCCTTGCTCACTCTTCTACCACCCCAGGCACGAGGCCAGGTGAGCCGTTCAGGACCAGAGGCCATGTCCTGCCAATGGCCAAAACCAGCCACCTCTACCTCCTTACTGTCCCTCAGCCCTGTCCCCTAGATGCCCACTCGTCATGACAGCAGTAACTACCCTTTGTCAAGTGGGAACCGTGTCAGGCCTTGTGCTAAGGACTTCGCAGGGACTCCATGAGAAGACCAAGACTACTCCTGCAAGTACTCTCTGAGGGTGGTAACCTCCTCATTTTGGAGAGGAGGAAACCAAGGCTGGGGGACCTTAAGTGACTTGCTCAAGGTTCCACAAGCAGAAAGTGGCCGAGGCAGAGTTAGAACCTACGTCCAGGGGCGCCTGGGTGGCTCAGTCGGTTACGCGTCTGCCTTCACCTCAGCTCATGATCTCAGGGTCCTGGGATCGAGCCCCGCATCCAGCTCCCTGCTCAGTGAGGAGCCTGCTTCTCCCTCTCCCTCTGCTCCCCACCCCTCACTCATGCTCAGTCTCTCTCTCTCAAATAAATAAATAAAATCTAAAAAAAAAAAAAGGTCCTGTTAAGAAAATGAAAAGTCTTAAAAAAAAAAAAAAAATCTACATCCACTTGACCCCAAAGGCCAAGCTGAGACTCTGGCCTGCACTGTCTCACCTGGATTATATATCTGCCTCCACCTCTGCAGTCACACCCCCAAATGTGTCCCTCCCTCAGCATCCAGAGAGCCAGCTCACACACAGGCCACTCCCTTGCTTCCACCTCTTCACCGCTGTCCTAAGTGGTTGCCTGAATCCACACACCTCACCATGAGCCATCGAGGTCCCCCTCAGCCTTCCACTGCTCCTGGCTGCTCCAGAGGCTCACCATTCCCCACCCCACACCCAGCTGTCACTCTGCTCCTGCCTTCATCCTCTGTGCCTGGAATTTCCTATCCCTCCTCCCTGGCTAATTCCCATTCATTCCTGGAGAGCAGCTCTGCATCCCCTCTGCCACCCGGATCCCCCCAACTGGGGCTGGTGCCTGTCCTCTAGTCTCCCATAATTCTCTGGGTGTGGGTCTTGATAATACAATACGGTAAACTCAGGGATTCTCTACGTGTCTCTGCACTTGGTTCCTAGAAGGCCAAGATCACGTTTGTTCATTTTGGGATCCCTAAGCCCCTGTAGAGGGCTCGGCATAAAGATGCCTTTGAGCAAAAGTTTGTTGTTTAAGAGAATGGAAGGACTGATTTGGGTTGTATGAAAGAACTGCCTGTTTCTAAGGCTACTGGTTAGATGACTGGGCTCTGAGAAAGCAGTGATTGTCTTGTCCTCCTGATATGCCCAGCACCCTTCATGGAACCTAGCACTTAGTGGATAAGTAAAGGGCAGATGAACAGAAGGCCAGGGGTAGCCTGTTCAGTGCAAGGGAAGGTGCTCCCTATTGCCTGATGCAGTGAAACTCATCACTCCTCTTCCCTTAGACTCTCAGTGGCATTTGGGACTGCTCACCCCACCCTCCTTGAAACATGCATTTCTCTTGGCTTCCAAGACCCTATGTCTCCCAGCTTTCCTTTCCCCCATCAGCACCCCTCCGCCTCTGATGTCATCTCCTCCTCCTCTTCCTAACCTAAAACTGTCCAAAAAGTTCAGAACCATGTCTGCTGGTCACCCTGAAATAAACCACCCCAGCCGGAGCCATTCCTCTGGGTGCCACACCTCTCCATCCAACCACTTTCCTGGCTTGTCTAGATGGAACTGTCGATCTGTCCCTACAGATAAGCTCCTCTCCCAGTCATCCCCAGCTCAGGAAACGCCTGCTCTCCTACCCAGGTGCTCTGGCCAGAAAGCTGCCCCTCCAGCCCCTGCTCTCTTCCATATCCTGGAGCTGGTCTATCCACAGGTACTGTCGGTTCACCCTCCACAATCTGCCTGTAACCTGTCTCGTCTCTCCATGCCGCTGCTACCAGCCTTGTCCAGGGCACCTGCATCTCTTGCCTGGACTACGGCAGTCACTTCCTGATGGCCCTCTGGGCTTCCACTCTTACCCTTCTCTGAGCCATCTGGACCAATAACAGCTGGAGGGGGCTTTTGAAAACATACTGCTTAAAACCCCTCTGTGACTTCTTGTTGTCTAAGGCCAGGGGCAGGATCCCTTTTGAGGTCTGGCACTGCTGACCTCTCTGGTGGCCACTTGTGCCTCTCTCCCCTTCCCGCTACATCGACCTTTCCTCAGTTCCTCCAGAGTGCCAGGTTCCTGTCCCCAGGGCCTTTGCACATGCTGTACCCTCTTCCAGAATGTCTCCACCTCCTCTCAACACTTTGCCTATTTCATTTCCCCTTTGGTCCCCTCTTCCAAGGAGACTTCTCTGTCCCTTCCCAGGAGGTCCTTTTCTTTTCTGTCACTATTTCCTGTTTGTTCCCTCCATTGTACTCCTCACGGTTTACAAATTTGCTCATTTTCTCTGCATTTCTATTGCATGGCATGCTCTCTCTTTCTCTCTCCTTCTCCTTCTTCTTCCTGTCTCTCAAGAATGCAAGCTTCCTGAGGGCAGGAAAGGTAACTGACTTGTTCACATCTGAACAGAAGGGAATGCTGCCTGGCACCCAGCAGGTGCTCCACAAAATTTGGGGAGTGAATGAATAAGGGACCACCAGCTTTCAAGCAGAGAGAACAATGGAGTGGTGTCTTGGGCACCTGTTGGGTGGCTAAAACAGCTGCCTTTGACCTCCTTTCCTCCCAAGATCCCATGATTCTGTGACCCCGTCTAGCTCACCACCCAAAGGATCTTAGAATGTGGAGGAGGTGCGATTCCAAGGTGGTACCCTTTGGAAGTTTGTCACCTCCTTTCCATATACCTAGAACTGGCTATCCTGCCCCATTCTGCAGAGGGATAAAATTACTATGTGACCTAGGATGTTTTTGATCAAAGAACAAAAGAGTAGGTAGGGAGGATGCATGGGAAGATGGATTCTGAAACTGCAGTGTCAGATATGGTAGCTAGTAACCACATGTGGCTGTTTATAATTAATCTGAATTAGAAAAACATTGTAGAATTCCTCAGTCTCGCTAGCCACATTTCAAGTTCTTGGTAGCCACTGGCTACTGTATGAAATGGCCCAGACAGAGACCACTGACTTCATCCCAGAAAGTTCTCTTGGACAGCGCTACTCTAAAACAACCCAGCCAAAGTTACCTCAACCTGAGGGAACCAGGCTGGACGGGGTGGGCTGTAAATAAAATGTGACTATGTGACCAAGGCTGACCAGGGCGGCGCACCTGTCAGACCCAGGTCCGCCACACCGCTCTGCACCCTGGCCACCTAGACGTGAGCCGCCACAACTTGTGGGGCTCCTGGGGTGACTGTGTATTGGTCTCCGGTCCCAACTCCACCCTGGCAGGTCAGCCTCAAACACAGAGCTTATGTGGCCCCAGGGTGGCGGTCCCCAGCCTCCCCCCCAGGCCCCTTCGGGAGCCCCTAGGGGGATCCATGTTCCGGGGCGGAGGACGGGCGAGGTGGGAGCTCCCGGCTCGCCCCGGGCCAGGACACGGAGGGCTGGGGAACTTCCTCTGGGGGGCGCGTGGTGGGGGAGCTCTCGAAGGTCCCGGAGGCCCCCGCCTCCCCCCGCTCTGCTGCCCCGCCCGCAGGGCGCCCACCGGTCGCCCGCCCCCCCCCACCCGGCCGGAAGCTCCGGGAGGGGGCGCCCCGCCCGGCCCGGGCACCGCGCCCGCCGCACACACTCACGGAGACTCGGGAGCCACCATCTTGCGCGGTGGACGCTCTGGCCGCGGTCTCCTTGGGCTCCACTGAGCGACAGCAGCCACTAGCGGTAACCGGGGCGAAGATGCGCCAGCAGCCGGCGATGGCCGGGTTGGCGGGCAGGGCGGCGGCGCCCTGGGGCTCACCTGGCGCGGCCGTCCCCCCTGCGCGCGCGCTCGGCAGGCAGCGGGGGCGACGGAGGTGAGACCACCGGAAGGGTGTCCCGCCAGCGGGAGGGACAGGGTCATTCATTCGTCACGGGCACCCGCCAGTTCTAGAGGAGCTCCCAGGTGAGAGCTCCCAGGTGAGAGCCAAACAGAGCGCTAGGGAGGCACCGGCAAAATGCTTTGGGATCACAGGGGAGCAGGGGGGAAGCCTACGGTCTGCGGGGAGAGTCTATTAGGTTTCACTGCAGGATAAGTAAAGTTTTACCAGGGGTAGGGCATCCCAGGCAG